GGCAAGGCTAGTCTGAGCCTCAGTTTCACCACTGGGTCACTCCTTGTAGAGCTGCTGTGAGAATTGAATGAGATGCCACATACAAAGCACTTAGAACATTCTGGTTACAGTTTGAGTAGAGCCTTAGGCACTGGCTGATATTTGGCACATTTTGTCCCACAGAAAAGGCAGTTCTATGTGGTGTAAGCTGTGACCATCTGGGCACCAGTATACAGCAGGACTTACTATTATGACTGGCTTTCCTCTGCTGAACACACAGTCACCTAGGCGGCTGGGGGCCCTAATGGCCCCCAGTGCCGGAAGTAGGGTCTCTGGTGACTTCCTCTCTGGCCAGGTGAGTCAGCCAGGTCCCGCTGGAAAGCTGACTTAGCCCTGCCCTCCCTGGCCACCCCATTCCTCGCCGGGGGACGGGGGTCCTCTGCTCACCCAAATGCCACATCCTGTTGAGCTCAGGAGGAATTTCACAGATGCAGTAGACACTCTGACCCAAGCCTCTCTCTAGGGTAGCTGGGCACCCCCCTGCTGAGCCCTGCGTCTGGGGGGCCGAGGCATGGTGACCTGCACTGTCTCCATCGTTCTGTCTCATGAGCTCTGGGAGGTCGACGTGTCTGATTTACGGTGTTTTCTTGGCTTGGGACAGGAGAGAGGTGTTTTGAGGGCCAGAGGTCACAGCTGGGAAAGTGTGGTGGTTTTTACCTCCTGCTTTTCTCCTTCCTCAAACCGTCCCAGAACGAAAAGCCCAGAAAGTGAAAAGATAAGGGTCCCACTTGGGGAAATATTTTTGCAGGCTGCATCACAGATAAGGGCTGACACATAAAGACCACTTAGAAATCAAGAGGAAAATCAAGAAGAGCAAAAACTGAGAAAAAGTTTTATGAACACCTCTAGAGTGATTTCTGGGATATCTTGGTAAGTTCAAAAAGCAAACTGTGTGTGATGGCGCTTGCTGGGAATCCCAGCACTCTGGGAGGCTGAGGCAGGAGGATCACAAATTTGAGCTTCACCTGGGCCATATAGACTGTCTCCAAATAAAAACATAATAAATGGGCTGGGGATGTAGATAAATGTGAAGGCCCTGAGGAGTTGGGGGGGGGAATCAAGATGCTGAATAGGATAAATGGTGTTACCTTTTATGTCAGAAATAGATGCAAATAATTGTATTTGCAAAACAAAAATTACAGAAAATCACAAAGTAGGCAGAGAGGGGTGTTGGTGAATGGAGTGGAAGAGATAAAGATACAGAAACCTTTTCTGAGGATACTTCCTGTGTGATTTTTTTTTTGTCTTTTTCCTTTTTATCAGTACCTGGGATCAAACTCACGACTGCCTGCTTGCAAGGCAGGCGCTTCTGCCGCTGAGCTAAATCCCCAGCCCCCTTCCTGTGTGATTTTAACTTTGAACTATGTAAATATTTTACATACTTGAAAGTGAAATTAATAGGTAAAAAGCAAACCCAAAACTGAATACAGAGAGAAACAAAATGAACTTATCTCTATGTTAAATTGACCATATTACTTCATGGAGAAAAATAAGGATTTCAAATAACTTTCAACATAGCATTTTGACTGGAGGGGAGGTTGTTCTAAAGAGAGAAACAATGCCAAAGAGATTTTAAATTTCATTTAATAGGTTTATTTTTAGTGTTACTATTAGTATTGTAATTTAAAAATTTTTATTATAGAATAAAGCAAATACATGTACAATTATATTAGGAATCAAGATTTTCAGTGTTAAAAGACATTCAAATACAAAAGAACTTTTGAAAATAAAACTGGCACTATTATATTTGAATAAAAAAATTTTAAGACAGGGCCTTTCATGCCATCCAGGCTGAGTATGAGCTCACTATAGAGTCCAAACTGGCCTTGAACTCATGGAACCCCTCCTGCCTCAGCCTGCTGAGTACTCATACTGTGGGAGGGCTTCACCATGCTGGTTAAAATTTTTATATAAATGCAGAGTTTTAAAAACATCATTTTCTGTCTCTCTTCTCTGAAAGGCACAGAAGCAGGAATCCAGTGGCAGCGAGCACATCTAGGGCTCCCTCTTGGTTTCTGAAGACTCAGCTGCTTTGGAGTCATGCCTGATAGCAGCAGATCCAGAACTGCAAGAGTATGTACAAGGTGGGGCTGGGGCACCTCTCATGTCAAAACAAGGCATTCTTTGGAGTTATACTGAAGAACACACGGACTTCCTCGAAGCCCGATATGGGCCAAGTCACAAACAACAATGACGGAAATTAATCGTGATGCTACAGCCCCGAATACGGAGATGTCCCCTTCCAAAATAAAGAGAGACAAAGACACACAGAAAGAGTGTGTTATGGGCTAAGTCTAGGATGTCTCCCGAAAGTGTCCTGTGCTCAGAGTGGGGCTTTTAGGAGGTGACTGGTCATGGCATGCTAAACCCAGCAGTGGACTCACCCAGTGATGGTGCTGCTAACTGTGCTGTGAGGAGATGGCGTGGCTGGAAGAGGAAGGTCGCCGGGGATGTGCCGTGGGAGGTGTCTCTCCCTCTCTGGCTCCTCCGTTCTCTTCTGCTTCCTGGCTGCGGTGAGGTGAGCAGCTGTCCTCCACCACGCCCGGCACACTGGCGTGTCTGCCCTGGTGCCGCCTGACCACGCACTGAACCCCCTAGAACTGTGAGTCGGAAACCGCTCCTTTGCTCCTGTAAGTTTTAGGTGTCAGGTATTTTGTCCCAGTGACAGGAAAGCTGGGAGAAAGGAAGGGAGAGAGAAAGAGATGAAGGGAAGGAAGGAGAGAGGGAATACAAAGAGAGAGAAAAGTAGGACAGGAAGGCTCTGTTTTAACTGCAGAAAGTCAACTTATCTAAAAAGAATGATGGAATTTTAAAAACACATCACTGGGTTGTAAATAATTCCATCACGGTTGATTTTCAAACTAATAGTCAGTGCCCTCCAACCTGAGGCTTGGAGGACATGTCGCTTATGAAGAGCTTGTTACAGTTTACGTCTAAAATACCTCCCCAAAGTCTTAAGTGTTTGAGAGTTAACTGACTCAAGAGAGTTATATCCAGCAACGGACTGATCTGCGTTCATAGCCCTGATGTGCTGTAGGAAGTGGGCCCTGGTTGGAGGCGGGTCACTGATGACATAAACTGGAAGGAGGTACCCTTGTCCCTGGCTTCTCCCTTCTCTCTTTCTGCCTCCTAAGTGCCATGAGGTGAGCCTCTGTCTTCCACCATACCCCTCTGCCACTCAGCTCTGGAGTGAGCTGACCTCTCTTCCTTTAAATTGCAGGTGTCGGATGCTTTGTCTCAGTGATGAACAAGTGGTTAATACACGGTTGTAGATCACGCACACCACTGTGATCCGGCTCAGCAAAGGACTGGACCAGAGTAAATGTGAGGCAGACTCCTCTGCCTGCTTCTTCTAATCCATCTCCCATTTGTATTGGTTACTTTTATCTCATTGATAAAACAAAATACCCAATACCAAAACTTAAAAGAGGAAAAGTTTATTTAGCTCACAGTTTGTGGAGGTTTCAGTCCATAATCTGCTGGTTCCAAGGCTGGGTGGCGTGGCAGAGGGTCAGCAGTCTGTGGCATCAGAAAATGGCAAAAGCAACAAGAGCAAACGAAGGGAACGTGCCTCTTTCCCTCCCTTGTGTTGTAAGCAGGCCACCCACCCAGGGGTGCGTGTGGCACACGTACCATCCCCCTGCCCTCCTCTTGCATTTACAGAGCGAGGACCCCGGCCCTCTGCTGACTCAGCTGAGCTTCTAAACTTCTCAAGTTGACAGATACCAACCATGACACCATATATATTCAGTGTCCGTCCTCCCTTCCAGCCAGGGTGCTCTCCTCTCTGCCCCACAAATACATTCAACTTTTTCTGCTCCTGAAACTTGTGACTCACATGTTGCTGGCTTCGAATGTCCTTCTTTCTCCCCGCTCCCTCTGTTCTACATTAGATGCTCTGGTTTGAGACTCATGCACGGTGAGAATCCCTCCCTGACTGCTCTGGCTCACAGCTGACCTCCTCATTTCACCCCACCGCCCACTGCAACCACTGCACCCTCACCCCACCTCCACCTCGCATGCCTTCATCTCATTTACTGCCGCCATCGCACCACCATTCTCGCCTCCCCCATCATCCCTTCCAGCTTTACCTTGGTTGGTTTTGTCTTCTGCCTCACCCCTACCATCACTGGTCCACCACTGCCACTACCACCTTGATTGCCAGTGCTCGTCGCCTTCCCTGTCGCCTCCCCCGTCCTCCTCACCATCATCCCCAATCTGTCTTCACTGCCTTCATCTCCTTCTTCACCCCCACCGTCTCATGCACACTCACTGTCATCTCCTCCTCCCATCTTTACCAACTTTGCTTCCTTGGCTTCATCCCAGCCATCAGCTCTACCATCATGACCAGCACCACTTGTCCCAATATCCCTGTGGCCATTTCTTTGTCTCCTATCCTTAGACTCCTCATTATCATCACTAGATTTTTATTAACTGCTATCTCTGACTCTGAACATAGAAAAACCTCCTACCTGGGAATTTCCCTTAAGTGATATCCATGTAAAAATGAGATCAAAAGATCTGCACAGAGGAAGTAACCTCAGATGTTGCTCAAAGCTCACGGGCAAGGGCATTTGCCACCTTTCTTGGGCAACAGAGTGACCAGCACATGTGAGTGTGGTGAGAGAGAAGTTAAGGTCCCATTCCCAGGCTCCATAGCTTTGAGTCCTGCTCTCCTATCATCAGATCCAGGATCACCCACGCTCGAGACCAGAGATGCAGGAAGCTCAAGCAGTGCCAGGCTGGGTTGGGTGAGTGGCCAGTCCAGCCCAAGCCTTGGTCAGCCCGTTTTCAAGGCTTGGTGGGAAAGCACACTGCCCTGCAAGGCTCCGACCTCAAATGGTTAGGCAGAAAACCCAAACATCCCAGCTTTCCCTAATAATCACGATGACTCTCCCAACCCTGAAATTATCAAAACCCTCCTTAAGCCTATTTTTGTTTGCCTTCTTACCATCTCTAGGGCAGATTAATTCCAGATGTTTGCAGCTTCCTGGGCAAAGCACTGCTTCCCATTATTTCTCCCAGAGTCCTTTTCTTGAGGTTACTCTCTAATTCCACCATTTGGAAAGGCTGAACTTTCTCCATATTCATGACATCATGCTGTGAGCACATTCTTCTGTACCTCTGAGGACGAATAGGATAAACATTTAAATCCATAACAGTGGCAGTCTTTCCCTGCCCTAATAGGTGCAATTACTTTTCACTGGCCCTCCCATTGTGTAAAAATGCTTCTGTCTCTGGTGAGTGGGAGGTATAACCCAAGGGCTTGTTATTCACGCAGTACCTATGCGCGTCTGAAGGAGAATCCTCTGGAAACTGCTTTTGCTCTGGCTTTCCCTCTCATCAACCTGCTCCCCTCCTGCCTTCCCTGGCCATCTGCTTAGCTCTCACCTCTCTGTGCCTTTGTATGTGTGGCCTTCTCCCTCTGTGTTGTAGTCAGTGGTTTGCAAGGGAACAGATTTGATACAGGATACACAAATTTATAGGAGTATCTTATAGTGTTCACCCAAAAAGTAGAACAGTACAAGAGATTTGTCTGCATGCTAGAGACCTGAGGAATCCTGGATCCCATAGCGATGTCCTCCATGAGTCCAGCCGGAGTCCTAGAGCCCAGAGCAATGTCTCATGCAAGTCCATATCAAGGATCTGCACCAAGAAGACCCAAAGTCCAGTGGTGGAAGCTAGAAAGTCTGCACTGGTGAGGTGAAGGATCCACGGAAGACGGAAGGATCCACATTAGAGCCAGGAAACAGTGTTCAAGGCAAAGACCAGAGGTCCACTAAAGAGAACAGCAGTCCTCCCCAGTGACAGTGAGAACCCTTGATTAGCTCGATAACCAGACACATTTCTTTAAGCTGCTGTCCTCCCCCTTCTTCTGGACTAAGACCCCACTGAGGGATTGGATCTTTGGGGTCTTTCCCTGATTCTCCCAAAAACCCCTGTACCCCCTCAGTCTAATCACTTAACATACTCAGGCACCCCTGCATCACTTCCTTCAAGGTTCCATCAGCAGAACGAGATGAACTTTGGCTTCACTGTTGACTTGGAACAACTGTGTTATCAGTTATACAAGAGAGCATCATACAAAGGCATGTGGGTGAGAAGACTCAGGATTTCTATGAGAAGAACTTGCATTTCTAGAATATATAGAAAGAAAGAGTAGGGGCCGTGATGGGTTGGCCAGCGGTACAGGGTGGTGCAGATGGCCCCATTCAGCCATGCTTACAACAAGGCCAAGTTCCGGTCCTTGACCAGGCTGGGTGCACCAATAGTTTCGCTGCAGAGGCTTCTGTGTTCATATCCTTGCTTGGATGCACTTCCTAGTTTTGGGAAGACACTGTTTTTTCATAATGACTTGTAATTTCAACAGCTGAGTCAAACAGGTTCATTTTTAGGAGCTACTTCTTTGGAGTCATAGTTCATGTCTTCCCTGAACTTTCAACATGGGATTTTAAAATAGTCCTGTGGCTTCCTGTGGGCTGTTTACTTTTAAAATGGGAACAAATTCTATTTATTACTATTTTCCCTACCAATATTTTCTATAGTTCTTCTTACTAAAAATGACAGATTTCTTTGGTCCTCCAAAGAAATCACCAGGAGGTCAAGTTTAATCAAGTTGTGTGTGTTGAGGTAGGAGGGTTACCCAAAAATCTCCAGGTAGGACCCAGAACACTCCTTGGGATGAAGTCCCATGGGTGGCCTTCATGTGAGTGCTAAAACCACAGTCCTTGTCATGGGCCAAACTTGTTGACCTTCTTGTCAAACATTCCTTGCCTCCTGTTTGGATGAGGCTATTCCTGCTTTCAGAAAGACGTCATGGGGGACATGGAGAATATTGTGCATAACCAACATAAGTGGACACGTGCTCCTTGTCCAGGATTTCCAGAACCCCATGGGCACAGTCCCTGCCAGGCAATGTCAGTGGGAGGAGAACTTTTGAGCAGCATGGACAGGCAAGAGGGCAGCTGAAGGTCAAGCTCTCTAGAAGCAGAATCAGCTCCACTGTGGTTTAGGCCCAGTAAACTGGAGCCACAGTGTTCAAGAGTCTCATTGGGTAGTGGAGCCTGCTCAGGCCCAGAAAAGGGGAAACAGTACCCTCGAAGACTTTGCTCTCCCTGGCTACTCTGTGTGAGCCCTTCCTCTCCCCCGTAGACACACACCCTCTGTTTGTGCCCACAGAAGGAAATTCCAGTGGACAGTTAGAGGGCTGTCGTTCTCCCCCTCAAATAAGAACCTGGTGCGACTCCCAGAGCTAACTCAGAGCAGGCCCCCACCGCCATCCAGCCGCAGGCTCCTTACTGCTTGTCCTAGGGGTCACCTGCTTTCACTCTGTGTGTTGTCCTTCTGTCTTGAGCTCAGGCATGCAGCCCCCTGGGTGGCTCTTCTCAGTGTTTTGTTTCCTCTCACATCTAGGGCTGACATCTTTTCACACATGGCATTTTAATTGTATCGGGAATAAGATATGCCCGGAATCAGAAATAAAGCTGCCATAGCTATTGGTATGTACGATGTTTTATTAAATATTCATCTTCCCTTCTTTTTGTAAAAGCCAAAAGTAGAAATGCTGGGTCATAGAGTTCTGTGGAACTATCGTAGATTCTACGGGACATTTTCCCAAGTGGCTGAACCAGTTTACCTTTCCCTTCACTGGACATGAGAGTTCCAGTTGCTCCACATCCTTTGCAACTCTTTATATTGTCAGTCTTTTTAAGAAAAATTTCTATCTTTCTATTGGATATTAATAATATCTCATTATGGTTTCCATTTTCCTGATGTTTACTGAGTTTGGTGTTCTTTCATAAGTTTAGTAGTCATTTAGATATCTTTTATCAAACTTTTGGTAAAATCTGCTGCACATTTTAATTGCTACTTCTCTTATTGGTGTGTGGAGTTGTTCCAGTAAAAACAGAGAAGGCTCACTTTGTCAGATGTGTGTATTACAAATATCACCTAGTCTTTGGCTACTCTAGTCATTGGCTTGATGTCTTTTGATGAAACACTACAATGAGGTTCCCTTTTTTTTTTCTTTTCTCTTTTGTTTTTGGTTTAAAAACATCTTGCTTTTCCCAAGATTGTGATCATGCCCGGGAGAAATTGGTGATGAGGGGCGAGGGGAGGTGTCAAGGTTTGTCCAGGTAGACTGGTTTGCAAGGCATTGTTTTTTCAATGGGAACAATCACCTCACTGTAAAGATCAAGAAGTGCAGCCTAGAGAAATAACTCAGTAGACGAGCACTAGCTTGCGTGAGGTCCTAGTTCAATTTCTGACCATAAAGGGAGAGAAATTGAGAGTAGTGGTACTTGTTTCTATCTTAGCTGGTTATTTCCATTCCTGCTCTGAGTAACCTCAGGGAAATTGGGCTTTTCAAAGCCATACGAGGGCACTGGTTACTTTCTGTGAAGTCCCAGAATGTGTAAACTTCTAGAATCCTAAATCATCTGCTCTCCGTGCCATCCGAGGCTTCATTTGGCTGAATCTTCTTATTATATAGATGAGGCCTTGGCAACTGTCAAGAGAGGGTATGCAGATTGAAGACTTGGTTTCTCATCCACCTTTGTTTGCAAGCAAAAAGAACGGTCTATCATCATCCTCCTAGTCACAGTGACTGCTCAGGCTTGTGACATGTAGGCACCACACTAAGCTTTATCTAGTTAATCCTCCCAATGAGCCTGTGGGGGGCTGCTGGGCTCACAGCCCATGGGAAGAGGAGGAATTTGGAACTTGGAACCATAGCTGCCTGTCTCAGGCTGTCTGGGTCCTCTTGCCTGCCCCCTGGCCTCTCCTGTGCTTCCATTTCTCAAACTCTTGGCTGTTAGAGACTTCAGTACTCACAAGGTCTTGGAGTGGTCTCTGCTCTCTGTCATTTAGGGTCTGAAGTCCCCCTCTGGACCCCTGATGTCCTAACGGGTTGTCCCCTCTGCCCTAACCCTAATCCCTAGGAAGCTCTGCTGCCTTGAGAGCTGCAGGCAGGAGGGACCCTTGCTCCAAGCCTGTTTCCTGGAGTTGTCTTTCTCGTCCTGGTTTTCTGTACGGCCTTGGGCCAGTGCCCCTGGAGCTCCGTCAAGGACCCAGCCTTGAGGAATGGTGTGACATTGCATTTGTATGGAGCTGCAGAAGCCTCAAGAGCCAGTGTGAAAGCTGATTCATCTTCACACCAACCTACAGTTCTTCCTCAACCCTGGAGGCTCAGATTTTCTCAATTTTTCTCCTTTGGGTGGAGACTTTACAGGTAGGAGTGACACACTGTGAAGAAACCCCAAAGCATCTTGAGATTCCTTTCCCATTCTGCAGACCATGAGGCCTGTGTGGGTGCATGTGTGTGTGCGTGCACGCACAAGCACATATACCCACAGGGTCAGAGCCACAGGTTTGGGATTGGGGCTGCCTTGGACTGTGGAAGCAGTCGTGCGAGGCAGGATTTAAGCAGGCCTGGGACTTCTGTTTTCTTTCTTACTCACATGGCCCACTCCCTGGCCTCTCCTTCCCTGAGACTCACTGTTTTGTGTTGGGGATAGGATCTTGTTAGGGTTCCTTGCCCTCCCTTGGATCTGAATCCACTTGTCTGAAGCTGTGCTGAGACCAAACGCTAGAACCCAAGGGAAAGTGCATCTCAGACAGTTCAAAGGGGTGTCATGTCCTCTGAACACTTGCCATGGCAAGAGAGAACTGGGACCTTTGCCACTTTGCTCCCAGAAACCCTAGACCAGAAGCGACCCTCCTTGGTCCTCTTCTTCCCCCGGGGAGGAGAAGGGAAGAAGAGAGGGAAAGGGGTCAGAGGAAGCCTCTCTTACCATCCAAACTTGGGTCCCTGAGTCTTCTGGATCATTCCTGGATAAAAAATCAGAGGGGGAACCAAGAGACACCCCATTCCAAAAGAAGAGGCTGTGATTTTAAGGGACCTCAGCGGATCTGTCTTTAAACATAATCACAGAATCCGCCTGAAATATCTTTAAAGTATGTAGGTCAAAAGTTGTGTCCTGTGCAGCTGTACATATATGGAGGATGATTTGCCCATCCAGCAATCAGTGGGACTCCTGCTATGCTAGACACAGACATCACCGCACACAGATGGTCATGGTCCCTGCCCTCGGGTCCTAGGTAGTTTCCGGGGAAGACTGCTAATATACAGTTAGGGGTTGATGAGTGTGGAGAGGAGAGTGATGAGAGAGCTGGACAGCATGGGTGTAGAGGGACTCTTTGGGACCAGGGCTCACATGGCACACCCGGCCGCCCTCCAGTTTGTTGGGGACAGCTCCTTGTATATGTGTTGTTCAGGGCTACACCTGAGCTACAACAGCGATGTTAAGCACTGGTGACAGAGTCGATGAAAATTGACTGTAGATTGAATAAGGGGTGCAGAACAGCCAGTGTGCTTGAACCAATCAAAAGCAGAGGGGCAGCAGGAGATGACGAGGGTGTGGGATGGTGGTGAATGTGGTGAGGGGCTGGGGTTTCTCCAGCTGAGTCAAGGGAGCACCCCCAGGCCTGTGGGGCCCATGGCTGGGTGACAGTGCTTACAACCAGAGACCAAAGCAAGGAGTAGGCACCAGCACAGAGAAGGCTCTGGGTCCCCTCCACAGCCCTTAGAGGATGGAAACCTGGATGGGAGGTGGGGTAGGGGAAGGCAGACGGGCCTGTGAGGGCAGTTCTGTGACTAGGACAAAGAGAGGAGACCAAGGTGTGGCCGAGCGGGCGGCACCACCTGGCCTCGCCTACACAAGGCCTCCTGAAGTCTGGGCACAGCCACCGGCACATTTTCTGAGCTGCTTTTGGAGTGTGGGGCATGGTGTTGGGCATCAAGTCAGGCTCTTGGGCCAGCCGGCCATGGTCTAGGTCAGAATTAAGGATGGCTGAGCAGAGCACAAGGCTGGGTTCATGGGGAACTTTTGCTCTTTACTTCCTGGGGTGCCTTGGAAAGGGAGCCTTGGGTCCACCCCCAGGAAGACAGGCTGTGGTTCAGAAGTGGATTAATCCTTATTGTGAATCTGAAAATTGCAGGAAAAAACTGTCCCCCAACCCTGGCACATTTTTGTTAGGTCAGTGTGATGTTTTCCTATAAATAATCTTTTATTGGTATTTTTTAAAAAAACTGTTACATCATAGGTGTCCAAATTGCAAAGTACCTGAAGAAGTCCAGTCCCTTAGCTTGAAGCAAGTAAAATATTATTATCATCTGCCTGTTGCAGTTGAGGACCAGGACCTGGGCCGAGGTGGATGGACACGTGGCTGTGGACAGGCAGGTAGGGGCCTGGGCAAGGGTCCTCGTCCTTCTGCTAGACAGGCCCCCTACTGCTCCCCTCCTCTCCCCTTGCATCTCAAGATCTCAGGTGCCCTATACCAGCTGTGAGCTGGTCCTGCCTTCATCCCCAGCCCCTACAGTCTCCCTGCCCCGCCCTGGCCCCTGGCTCTGGGCCCTCTCTCTCGATTTCCCTCTGCTATGGCTGTACTCCATGGGCCATAGAGTGAGCCGGCGTCCCGGGGCTCAGACACGGGTGGGCTGCAGCACAGAGTGAGGCTCTGTCACCCGTCACAAACAAGCCTTGCTCTGTGTGCTAGGCCACCGCTGAGGCCAACAGCTGGGGGAAAGTGAAGGAAAGAAAATCTGTTTTAAAAAGCCCGGGTGAAGGTGGCCAAGACAAACACACCAGCCAAGGGAACAGGAGGCTGGAAGATTCCAGGTGCGGGGCTGCCCGCCACTGCCATGGCGGACCAAGGGGCTGGGCAGGGACGGGACAAGGAAAGCGCCCAGGGCAGGGTCCTTTCTACTGCAGCCTCCTGAGCGCAAGACCTGCTTCCCTAGGGACTGGCCATTCCGTGGGAGAAGAGGGGAGGGACCTTGTCCAAATCAAGCCCGAGTCCCACACATGGGCAGCAGGCAGAGCAGCGAGTGGACAAGGCTGGCTTTGTCCTGGGGCAGGGACCCTGCCCTCCTGCTCTGGGCCCCTTCCAGGCCCCCACCTAGCTCACTTTCTACCACGCTGCCCTCTGTCAACATGGGCTCAGCCAGGGGGGCTGCGGGAACGAGGGCTTCCTGTCTTTATTGCTGTTCTGGGAATCGGACTTGGGCCTCATGGAAATGTACCCTTGGAAGCGACAGCCTGGGGCGCCCAGCACGGGACGTTTACCCAGGGTGGCCTGGTGAGTCAGGCTCTCATCTGGGCGAGTTGCAGGATTGAACAGTGAGCGCATTTTGGTGCTACATCGCTGCTCACCAGTCCGAGGACGGAGAGGAGAACAGCTCTTTTTTGGCAGACAAAGTGGGCACAGGAGCGAAGACCCCACCGAACTGCAGCCACGTTCGAACCTGGCTGGGCTTGGGGGCCTGCAAATGGTGACTCCCTGGAGTGCTAGAACCAGACACGAGCTGGCCTGGCCCCAGGGCAGACACAGGAGCAGCTAGGGGTATGGAGCCTCTGTGGCCACCTCGCTGGCTGTCGGCTGTGGAGGTGTTTCCACCACACCCTAAGTGTCTTTTCCAAACTGTACGAGAGCCAGCCTCTGGAAGGGAGGGAGGATGCTGTGCAAGGTCCCGGGAGGGAACTGGGACAAAGGACCCCAGGACCCATAGACAAAATGAGACTCCAAATAAGGGAGAACAAGTGTGGCATTTCCCTGAAAACAAATGTGTCTTAGAAGGTAAAGAGTTATCTGCTGCTGAGTGCGTTTGAACCAAAGGCATAAGCATAATGCCCATCTAGGAGGGGAATCACAGATTAGATGACGGCTGTGAAGATTCCCTTTCCAGGCCAGCCCTATCCTGGGTCCCTAAGTCTAGAAATTGTGTAACATGTGAGACCTAGCTCAGCTTGCTCGTCTGGAAAAGTCACAATGCTGTCAATCCCTGTCTAGATCACATTACATGAGGACCTTCAAGACTGTCTTGTTCACCTCCTCCTCTCCTCTGAGTCCTTCCCGTTCATCAGGGAGCAGATCTGCCTTGTCTGACTTCCATTTTTTCTTTTTGAAAACTAAGCGGGGTGACCATCTCCACTAAGATTTTTACTGCCTCCTCCCTCTGTTTGGGCTGAACCGGGGACCTCTTTCTTGTTCATCTTTCCCCCCAGAGGAGCTCCTTGAGGTCGGGGGAGGGATTCAGTGCATCATCAAGATAGAGCAGCTTAGCAAGGACAGGTGCACACTTTGGACCCTGGCATACCCGGTGAGAGTCCTTGATGTGCTTCAGGCTGAGTGCAGGGACTCCTAGCACCTCTGTTTCCTCCTAGTATAGGGAGGATCATAAAATGGGGGCTCAAAACATCTAGAAAGTATGACAGATATAATGTGGCTAGGCGTGGTGTCTCATGCCTGTAATTCCAGCACTCTGGGAGTTTGGGGCAGGGGAACGGTAAGTTTGGGCCCATCCTGGGCAACTTAGTGATTGAGTGAGACCCTGTCTCAAAGATTTAAAAAAAAAATTTAAGGAAACAATGAGAAAAGGAAGGATGGAAGGAGTGGGGAGACCCACCCACGTGGTGCTGAGCGCAGGGTCAGGATGAGCCAAGCAGAAGAAGGCTGAGCCATCAGGATTATGACGATGAACCAAGGCCTGTCTCTCAGTGGAAGCTGGGAATTTGGGGACAGAATGGCCGAAGAGCAGACTGAGGAGTAGGTGCTTGTCTGTCCCCGGGCTGCCATCTGGACTCATCCTGGTGTCCTGGGGCCCTGAGGCCTCCGTCTCCCTGCATGCAAAGTATGCACAGCAGTCCAGGAGCGAGGTAAGGCCCTGTGCAGGGGCCGAGAGTACCAGGGAATGGGCTTTGTCCACGGGTCCCTCCAGAACTCAGCAGAGGCCAGGAGGACTGTCACCAGCTCCCCTTGCTGGTGCTGTCGCCTGGGCCCACCCACTCTTGTGCAAGACTTGACCGTTGCTCTTGGGCTAGGTTTAAGAACAGTGGCTGGCGCTGTCACCAAATGCATAACAAAGTAGTCCATTGAGGGTCAGCACCGCAGAGCCTGTAAACAGCCACGGAGGGGACACCTCGTCCCACATTCGCAGCCTGGCACCAAGGTGCTATTTAAAGATCTGTGCACTGGATTAAGACGCTTGTATTTATTTCTAAGTGTCTACGTAGCCCACTGGGATTCTCGATGATGAATGACTCCACTTCCTTGTTGACCCAAAATAACCTCCGCCTGCCCATCCCAAGTCATTTTTGTCTTTCTGAGTTTGATTTTTTTTTGTTAAAACAAACAAACAATCTAGTCTATTAGTCTTATTTTCCCCCTTTCTGAAACATGGTTCAGCCAAGTCCTTCTTAGTGGGCTGAGCTCAGGCCAAATGTGCATGCTTGGAGACGAATTGTTTTAGCATCACCCCATAGCAGAGACCAGGCACCTCGGAGAGGAGGAAATGCCAGGCGAAATATGGGCCAGGCCATGTCATTGCTGGCTCTGCCAGGGTGGAAAGAGCTTTTGAGAGGGCGCGAAAGAGTATAGTGACCCTGGGTCAGATTGGGCCCCCACAGGGAAGGATCCGACCGTGGCAGGTGCCAGGCTCTGGATTTGGCATGGATCCTGGGTGGTCCTACCTGGGCAGGTGAGGGGGTGGAGAGCTTCTTCCCTTGTCAATGCTTCAGTGTTTCTCCACCTGTAAAAGAGCACAACAAAAGAATCAAGTCACACAGTGAAGGTTTAATGAGGTGGTATTATAAAACATCCACAGCAGGCCCTAAGCAAGGGAAATCATCAGTTCTTCTACATCAGAGATGAAGAACCACGGTTTGCAGAGGTCAGAGGTCTTGCTCAAGGTCAAAAGCAATTGGCCAATGGAAATGGGATTTGGGTCTGAGTAGCATGATCCAGAGAACTGTGTTGAGCTAAGGGAGGTGCTTCCAGCTGCCTGGTGATCTGAGGGGGCCCCAGGTAAAAATGGATCCTAGAATCCTGAGTCCTAGAATCCCCTTAGGTGAATGAGGTGACTATGACAGCTGACGTTCAGCACTTTATGGGCATATATTTAATAGGTACATGGATTTCTGTATTGTCGGCTCTATGCCAAGTGCTATACCTGTGTCAACTCATTAATTCCTGTACTATGTCCCGAGGAGGTGGTTACTGTCTAATCTTCATTTTACAGATGAGGAGGCCAAGGCACAGCGCGGTTAAGTAACTTCCCCCAAATCACATAGCTACTTCATGCTAGAATTTCAGCAAGCTGACTCCAAAGTCTATGATTCCACAACTGTGTCAGTTTTTGTAGGTGAAGACTATTAATCCTGCAGCTTGCTTCTTGTTGCCCCATTCCCATCAACCTGGGCTACTTATTCTCCGCGGTACAGGTCACACTCTGATGGCCCAGAGACTTTGCTCACTAATTATGTCTATCGCTTACTGTGTAAGCACCACAAGGAGATCGTTTTGTGGACAGATGTATCCCACACACATTGGACACTCAAACAACAAATGAATGAATTAATCACTAGATGAAGAGGCAAAACGCCCCTTGCACCAAGCTGTAATAATTACGTTAAATCATTTGTCTCCCCACCCATCTGGTTGAATACTGAACAAGAACCCAAACTCAGATTTGATTCCAAATTCTCTTCTCAATCATAGATTTTCCTTTAAAGAGTAATCAGTTTAGCTAATTGTGCCAATATGCATGTGTATGTGTGTGCATGTGGGTGTGTACACAACAGTCAGCTCTCCACATCCTTGTTTGACATCTTTAGGTTCAACCAATTGTAGACTGAAAAAATATTTTTAAATATATGCACCTGCCTTGTTTTCTCGTTACCGGGCTGTAAACAATACAGCATAACAACTACTGACAGTGCCAGTGTTGTATCAGGTGTTATAAGTCATCAGGAGACCATTTACATACTCTGGAGCACGTGCTTGGTTCCGCACAAATACTGCACCCTCATGTATAAAGATTTGAGCGTCTGAGAATTTCGGCACCTATGTCTGTGTATCTCCGTATGCATCTGCATACACACACATAAAACACAGAGAGTGAAGTCTGTATTGGGACACTGTCTCACTGAAGTTGACCTTTCTAGATGTCATTTTGAGGAACCACAAATAGAACTCTTCACAGTTGCTACAGACCCCGAAGAATATGCCCTCTATGGAAAGCAACACGAAAACCACACAAAGCCAGGGAATACAGAAAGGAGTCCAATAAAATTCTGGTCTTTCAATGATGGGAATTTTGACAACTTTCTTAGAAATAACGGAATTCTAAGCATTTTTCAAAACTTCTTTGCATGCAGGGCTCCTCTCCCCACTGGGCAGCAGGGGCCGTGTGTGAGGAGCCAGTCTGGCTGCACCCCGAGGCTGCAACCTGTGGCAGTTTCAGGCTGTACTGTGGAGACAGAAGGAGAAAGCGCTTAGGTAACAGTTTCAGGGAGCCGCACAAAGCTTCCAAGAAGTCTCAGAAGGTGGAGGGGACATTTCAGCCAGGATCTCCCAGTTCTCTCTGTTTGGCCACCTGGTCTCAGCAGCGTTGTGAGGAGCAAAGGTTGCCCTCACCCCGCCCCTAGAGCTGGGTCTAGTGTGTAAGTGTGGCTGACTGATACAGCGCCTTGGGGATCCTGTAGGAGCAGCTTCCTGTAGCCCCAGAGTAGAGTCTCACCTGGGAAGAGAGCGCCACCACCAGGCGGCCTTCCCTGAATTCCACCCTAGCACACCTGTTCCTCCTTAGGCTCAGTCTGTGCTCTGGCCATACTGTGGTCACTTGGGTCAGGCTCTTAATTACTGTCTTCATAGTGCTTGCCTCATGCCCTGCTGTGCTCCGGAGACAGCTGGCTGGGTGGACGGTTCGTGTCCTTATTCAGCCCCAAAAGACTGGTCGGCTGCCCAGCGGCTAATGTGCCTGATACTGGGCCAGGTGATCTGTGTGTGCTGAGCTCTTTGCTGCCGCATCTCTCTGTGCACGAAAGTGCTGGCATCATTGTCACCCTACCGATGAAGTGACAGAGGCAGAGATCTTAGCAATGACCTGGGTTACGTAGCCCTTAAGGGCCAGAGCTGGTCTTTGATGGCAGACAGCTGACTCTATCAGAGGTCCTGCTTATCCCATGAGCCCATGCAGCTGCGGATGGGACTGGAGAGGGGCAGGTGTGAGGACCCCCGTCACATGGCCACTTCCTCAACGCTCTTCCCAGGAAGCCTTCTACTCCCACCCCGGGCAGGCTCCAGGCAGACCCCTGGCACAGCTGCCCTCCACTCTGGGGACCTGAGGCCTGGTCTCCCAGCGTGGGCCTCCCCGGCAGGCTTTGGCCTGTGTCTGACTTGCCAGACCTGTCCTCTACCCCTCCCAAAGGCCAAAAGTCCCCCAGCTTCCCAACACACTTGGACCCCAGGAATGCATCCTTCTTCCCCTCCAGGCGTGTTGCATTAAGACAGAGATGAAATGAAGTTCCTGTAGGATCCTGTATCACTTAGCAGACTCAGACCTCTTAATAGCACCATGTCCTGCAGGGTTTGTGATGTTTCTTTGCTGGACCCTTCCCCTTGCCCCTTCCTCCTGGAGGTGGAGGCTTAGCCTGATGCCATGGCTGCATCTCAAAGGCTGGGCATGCCACCCCAGGCTGGCCCCAAGGAAGCAGGCTACTTTAGGAGCAGATGTCACCCTGGGACACTTTCTGCCGCCTCAGAAGCCAGCCTTTAGTGACCCAGGGTACGCAACTTCAGCTCGTCCTGCTCCAAAACTGGAAGACGTCTGGCAATCTCAAAGAAGGACTTTATATTTTACTTCATGTTCTTCTTTAATAGCAAATGGATGGAAAATGCAGAAAGTCCTTTGCTCAGCAAAACCTTCATCTATAGGAAATAGCTGGAAGCTCCTCTGGTTATGTAACACCCATGGCCTGGCCCAGGCAAGTGCCCACCCTGGGGGCTCAGCAAGTTCCCTCACTCTGTGCCCTTCACTTCTCAGGGAGCTACGGGCTCCTCAGTGCTTCACGTTGGTCTACTTAATGTGAACTCTGCCTGTGCTCCCTCCCTGCTGCCCTGGGTCCCTTTAATGGAAAAACAGTAGTTTTCATGATGAACTCATGCGGAGCAGGAACAAGACCTGTCTGGGCTTTGCTTCTCCATCTAAGGGGCAGGGCTTTGGTGATGTGGTTTCTGCCTGGAGCCAGCATCCCATGATGCTGGTTTTCTCCTGGAACTGGAGCTGATAGGCTATGACAAAAAAGGCAAGGCTTGCCGGCAAAGTCATCAGGTTGTGTGACTAATCCTGTCCTCTTCCCCCACCTAGCAACGACGCGCAGACGTGCGGGATGGCAAGCCAGCCTGTCCCACATGGGGTTCCTTCTCTTTCATTCATCCACCCACTCACTCATTCATCCATCTGTTCATTCATTCTTTCTCATTCATGTGTTCCATGAGCACCTATGAAGTCTTCAAGACCCACAAAGGATGGGGAGCAGCTCCCCAGTGCTCAGTGCAGGGGACAAGGGCCGTGGTCTAACGGGGGCCATGAGGACAGTAAAGTCCTACAGCATCCAGGATGTATCCACCTTTGCAATAGATGCCCACTCCCTCTGGACCCAGGTATGTTGGGCAAAGTCATGGAGTTCCCTACAAGTCGGGAAGCTAGAACCATACCAGGACCCCTAAGCATTAGCAAGCTGGTGATTCTTACCCTGGCACAGACACCCAGAGTTGGTAAGGCTCAGGATTTAAAATAAGACATGGAAAGAAAAATAGCCCTCACCATAGAATTCCCACCCCCATGTGGTCTATACTTCACCCCTCTCATAACAGGTGAGGAAACTGAGGCAGAGATTGTGTGGTCATCAGCCAGCATTTCCCCAGCTGGGAAGAGGCTGAGCGAGGACACCGCCCAAACCCCTGATGCCTGACCGGTGTCCGCTGGCTCTGGGTCCAGCATGCTGTTAACAGTGGCTCTTCCCCACTTCCTGGAACTTGCGCTGGGAGGTCTGCAGCCAGGCAGCCCCACCACAGCCCATGCTGCTGAGCTCGCAGATGGGTGAGCTCATCTCCTGAGGTGGCACTGCAGGACCGTGGTGGCAGCAAAAATAGCTCGCCTGCGGTCTATTGATATCCAATACTATCATCAGATCAGGGAAGTCAAGTAAGTATCTGGTTTCCCCCTGAGGCCTGGGAATTGCGTGGAGGCCAGAGATGATGGCCAACATGATCAGGGCCATGGCTCCTCCTCCACAACTCTGCCAAAGCCAGTGGCTGCCGCCTACCCCTTGCCAGCCTGCAAGCAGCATTCTGGGACTGGCAGGGAAGCCAGTTCTTCAGCCTGAAGAACAGCCTCAGACTGATGGTAGGAGCAGCTGGTTTTCCTGGAGAAGGCACAGGAAACAGCCTGCTCTGGAGTGCCTGGGGGCCTCTGGAACTCGCTGTGAGCAGAGGGGCAGAGATCAGGAGACTGGGATGGTACAAGTCCGGGGCGTCTGTGGCTGTGTCCAGATGAGGCCTCAGGGATGCAGGCTGATGCTCAGCCAGGGTGGAGGAGGGAGGCACAGACGAAGGCAGGCGCACAGGCCTCCTCCTCTGGCTGAATGCTGGCCCAGGCCAACCATCAGGAGACGGAACACCAGGCTCTGAGCCTGGTTGCAGCCACACAGGGCAGCTTCCCCTAGAGAGCCTGGGCCTCATGAGCTTTGGATCTAATGAAGGCCGTCTCGCTGCTCAGCCAGCTCGCCTCCACTTCTGCCTCCACAGCCCTGGCCCTTGCCCTGTCCCCATGTTCCACTCCGGGGGTGGCAGCTGTGATAACCCAGGGAACGTGTGCTGGGCTGGAAGTTTTGCAACTTGAGCCTCCAACACAGGATTCACCTGGTTCAAGTGGGTTGCTGCTGGGCACAGTATAAACCCAGTTACTGGGGAGGCTGAGGCAGGAGGATTGCAAGTTGCAAGTTGACCAGCTGGGATGACTTAGTGAGAATCTGTCTGAAAATAAAATCGTATAAAGGGGCTGAGTGTCGCACTCAGTGGGCACTTACCCAACATATGCAAAGCTCTGGTCTCAATGTCCAGTACTGCAAAAGCAAAAATGAAACAAACAAAAACAGATGGCTGGGCTCTAGCTTTGGACTACATAGGTCTGGGCGGGGTCCCAAGGACTCAGATTTCCCAGCACTCCTGGATGCTGCCGCTGGAGAGAAGCACTAGGCACTGGGTGAAGGCTGGATGAGGAGAGTGCAGCCTCCAAGGGCTTCCCTGAGGCCTCCAGCTAGAACCCAAGTGTGCAGTCAGGCAAAGTTCTCGAGGTCTGTACCTCTTCTGTGCCACAGGCTTGGGGCCAGTCGGGTGATACCTGTGGACCTGTACCAGAACAACATGTTTAAATGTGTTACAAGTATGCCCCTAGGGCTACATAGGATACAACAACACAAAGCCCTGGGGAAAGAGTGTTTGACAGAGAGGGAGCTACAAGTGCAAAGGCTCTGAGGCAGAAACAAACTTGGCAGGTGGGAGGGGAAGGTGGGGAGGAGCGTGGGAGCAGATGCTGAATCACAATGATAGGGGGAGTGGGGACCCCTTTACTCTGTCCCCAGAGTGCTGGAAGGTATGGGGCCATTACACAGGGAAGCGGGGTGAACAGATTCCTGTTCTGAAAGGTCCCTTTGGCAGCTGGGTGGATAATGGAATTGGAGGTTATGAGAGAAAGGAATGCCTGCCAAGTCTCACTGCTACGGGCCTCCAGGTGACACAGAGGAAGGAACAGGATGGGAAGAGGAGGCTGAGTTAGGGGGGACCCTGGGTGGCAGGGTGAGGGAGTAGAGGACACTCCAGGCCCAAGGCAGGGTCCTGAAGCTCATGCTCTAAGTCACCATGTGGCCTTGAACTGGCAGCTTCTCTTGGGCCCTAGAGGATAAAAGGGAGGGCTGGCCAGGCGTGGTGGATAATGCTTACAATCCCAGCACTCCAGGAGGCTGAGGCAGGAGGATGGCAAATTTCAGCCCAGGCCGGGCAGTTGGGGAGACCCTGTATTAAAATAAGCCAAAAGGTTGGGATGTAGCTCAGCAAAGGTTCTGGGTTGGATGGCACGTCTCGGCAAGATCCACCAGCCTCTGGCTGTAAGCGCTGTTTGCCCGGAGGTGATGCTCGTGCTGGGCGCCCCAGTGTCGCCTCGCAGAGGAGGAGGGGGACGTGGGCCCCGTGCGGTACGGTCCCACCGCAGCCAGGTGGCTGGCGCCTCCTCCGGGCTGGCAGCCGCACCCGCAGGGAAACGGCAAACACAAGCCCGAGGGAGGCCTGGCAGCTGCGCCAGACAGGACTGGCGCCCTCCTTGGCCATCCGGGCAGAGTGGCTGGAAAAAGGGGCCGGGCCAGAGACAGAGGAGGCGCCCGGCCAGCTCCGTGGCCAGCAGCGGAAGTCTGCCACACCTCTTTCACCTCCTGCCCCTGCCACAGATCCAGGATCCCACACCCAGAAGAGGGGCCTCTCCCTCACCCCAGGACACCTGTCGGCCTCTTGCAGGAAAAATGCCTTCTCCCTTTTCATTCCCAGAGCCCCTCCTTCTTTGCTGGCCTCCCTGAATTTGTAGAACCCCAACTGCATATCTGGGAGGCTTCATCTTTTAGTCAATCAGCGAACATCATTAAAAACTTGTTGATAGGTAGCCCTTGTTGGCTTTGCACCAGGCTCTGAGGAATACACAAACGCAGAGCCAGTCTAGTTATGGAAGAACACCCAGTCTAAGGGCAGAAACCGAGATCTCCACTAGCAGATAATGAACATCCCTTGCCTGCCAGGTCTTTAAAACACATTCTAGCCCTATGCTAAAGCCACAGGACTGCCCTATCTCCATTTGACAGAGGAGGAGACAAGGACTGTACACAGCAAACTAAGATAACAGACGGACGAAATTTATATGTACAACATTAAAAAATCCCACAAGAAGCCAAATCTCAATATTTTAAAATATACAAAGCTTTTCTACCAAACTTGACTGTAAATCAGCAGGAACACTTTGGCAAAGTGTTTGGCAGTGCTCTCCAAAGCTGGACACACAGTGTCCTACAATGTACTGATCACATCCTGACAGACTGAAAAGTGCGGAGGTCAAGAAGGTCCACAGCCATTCCATTTTCATAATAACCTCAACCTGGAGACAGCTCGAATAACCATCAGAAAAAAGAGGAAATCAACTTCTGGTATAGTTACCCAGTGGAATAGTATACAGCACTAGAAAAGAATAACCTAGCACATGACCACAACATAAGCAAATCGGACAGATACAATTTGGGATGAGAGAAGAGAAACAAAAGAGAACTGACTATAGGATTCCTTTTATATGAAGACTTTAAAAACTGGGTGATCTAAGGTGATAGAAGTCAACACAGCAATTACTTTGAGAGGTTCCCGACACACAGGGACATGCTTACCTAAATCCTGGCCAGGGAGGAGGCTGCAAGGTTGTGTGTATGGTGGAAATGAATCAAGGCACACACTGAAGATGTGCGCACTGTCCATGGATTGTATCTCAGCTCACACAAAGTGAGGCAAAGAGGTCTGACGAGCCCCAAAGGGAAGGAAAGAAATACAGATGTTTTGTGGGTATAAGACACACCCTGGCAGCCCTCAGAAAGGCAGCTCCCAATCACATTTGAGAGGACGAGTGACCTCACTAGTAATCAGAGGATGTGCCCTGGGGAGACACCAGTTCCCCCATCAGATAGTGCCATGTGCTGGTCCACAGGGTGGGGTCACCAGCACTTGGGAGGGAGCCAGGCCAGCTGCAGCCCCAAAGATACAGTCAGGGTCCATCTGGAGATGTGGAGCTCCAGCTTCCAGCACTTGTGGAGGTCAGTGAGGGGACAGAGACGACGCCATGTCCACTGTGCCGATGAGAACACTGAACTGAAGGCAACTTCAGCAGTCATGGAGGGTAAACTATGGCGGGGACATTCTACGAGATGCTGTGTGGCAGTTACAATCTATGCACGTCCAGTGGTAGTGTGTGCATAGATAGATCTAAAAATGTACAGTTACAAGGAAGTGGATTTATAGCCCAGCTCTGTGCTTGAGGGGCTCATACACCACACAACAGATCTGCCCATTTCATGAGGGCACTGAGTGTCTGGGACAGGACAACGAGAAAAAGAAAACAAAATATAACCTGGCCCTTCTACTTCAAGGGAGGAATTTAAACTACGTATTTATACCAAAATGTGTATGTAGATGCTCATTGCAGTTTTATTTTTGATAGTCTTTCTTTTTTAATCAGTACTGAGGATTGAACTCATGACCGCGTGCTTGCAAGGCAGGCGCTTATGCTGCTGAGCTACATCACCAGCCCCCTGCAGTTTTATTTTTAATAATGGAAAACTGGAAACAGCCTAAAGATCTCTCAATGGATGAGCAAGTCACAGTGTGCCAGCGCAATAGCGTTCCACTCAGCAGTAAAAGGGAACAACCATGAATACATGCAACAGTGTGTGGAACGCTCAAAATAATTCTGTGGCGTGGGAGAAGCCTCAGTGTTTTCATTTGCATGAACTCTAGGGAATGCCAGTGATGCTATATCCACAGAAGGGAGCTGAGAAGCTCCCTGGGGGGTAGGGAGGGGACCGGAAGGGTGATGGGGCAGCGGGAAGCCTTAGGGTGGTGGGTGTGAGATGCAATGGGTTCTCAGGTGTGGACACACGCCAGAGCTGTCCAGCTCTGCACTTTAAATATGTGCAGGTTATTGTCTGCTAAATAAGGCCGTAAAACCAGAAGCAGACAGTGGAAACGGGTGTCGCCTGGAGTCTACTGGGAAGGGCACCTGGACATTATGAGCCGTCGTCGTGAAAGCCGATGACACACAGCATTTGTTGAATGGACAGGGTTTCTCTCTCTCCCTACTCTTAGTCAGCGGACCTCTCCAGGACAGACAGTATTGGACCTGGCGATGCAGGTTGAGCAAATCGTACTTGGTGGCTGGACAGGATGGAGCTAAGGCTTCTCCTAGCTGAGGCTTGGAAGGCACCCCAGACCTCAAGTGCTCCTTGAACTCCGTATTTCATTTATTGAGCTGGTGCGGGGACGAGGCCTGGGATGCGAGTTTAAAGCAGGCGCTCACTCTCGGGTTCCTAATCTGGCCTCCCTGAATTTTGTGCCCCGCTCCTCCCTTGCCTTACCGTGGTTCTGGCCTTCTGTTTAAACATTTTGTCTGTGTTGTGCTTTCATATCTGTGAAATTGCATTAAGACATATTCTCTGCTCCCTTTCTGTCCTCTGCTTGTCCTCCTCTCCCTTGTGAACAGGACTGAACTTGGGGCTTTTAACTGAGCTGCACTTTCCGATCTTCCTGCCTCAGCCTCCCAGCGTGCAGGGATTACAGGCGTGCACCACCGCTCCCGGCTCTCCCCATCCAAGCCCATCCATGTTCTGCTTTCGTTGCTTGTCTCCATCCGTGTTGTTGCTGGTGCTGGTTGTTAATTTCAGGTGCAGAGCTAATGGGCGCCTTTAGTTGGAAAGATTCATGATGGCCTGTACTTTACGTCTGTTATCACCATCAGTCCTATTTATGGTTTTTTTTTCAGGTACTTAAATTATCTAACATTCACTGAATCCACGCTTCAACAACCGAAGTTAACACCAAATAGAGCACAGGAGTTTTTGTCTTTAGTTTTTACTTTTGCTTATTTCTACTCTTAACTGCAGCCAGGCTGGGGGATGCATATCTCTAATCCCAGGCGGGCCAGCCAAAACTTCAAGGCCAGCCTGGGCTACACTAATTGCAAGGCTAGCCTAAATTACATAGAGAGATTATTTCATTTTTTAAAAAAATCATTCCTAGCTCTCAACTGTGCCTAAGGCAGAACATATTTAACGTGGCTCTAATACTTTGAGCTATTTTATTTTCTTCTATAATATCATCCATTCAAAGAACAAAAATAGTCTGCAAAGTCCAGGAGTCCTTGAAAATTCTGGGTTAATATTTCCTGTAGCCTAATGATGAACTGTTGCTAAACCCTGAGTAGCGTTTCCGTGCTCTGCTAACCATACATGAAAAAATATGAAATGGGGAAAGTAGTAATTTATTACCTAAATCACTACTTTTCCTAAATTAAGGTTTTCAGAATATAGATTCAACTGTAACACATTAAGTTCAATATGCTGGTAAACAGGGATAAATCATAATTTAACAATAAATCATATTGTCACATTTGAACTGAAAATTGTAGCAAGATCTTTCTCAAAATAAAAAATGGAGGAGGGCTGAGGATGCAACTCAATGTGAAAGCCTGGATTAAAATAATACTAAAAAGATTAACCTCAGAGGTGGCGGGCACTGAGCTGTGCAGATGGCTTTAACCCTTTGGGAAGGAAGGCCCTGCCTGGGTCTCTGCCTGTCTGACATCCGATCTGTAAGCAGAAGGTTCCTATCTTTCCCTAGTTTGCTTTCAGACTCTGCCCAGCACCCACCCACAGACACTTTCACACGTGGGGTTGGGCTGAACGGGGAATCCTGGGTCCCGGGATGGGCACTGCATGCCCTCAGCCAGGTGGAGGGAGGAACTGCCCCAGGTGCTTGGCGATGAAAAAGCTGCATTGTGGGGTCTTTGGGGGAGAATATATTTATCCTGTTTTCTGAGCTTGTGAACAGGGCATTGTGGCGCCTGGGCGGAGAGGGCTCTGTGTGGCCCGGGAGGGATTATGCGTCCCTCCCAGGTGCCAGAAAACAGAAAAGGCCATTCAGCCAGCGGGCTTGCGCTGCCCACAGGAGCCCCGGCTCCTGCACTGTCCCTGGGGATGACCTGGCTTCCTGCATCTCCCTGAGGTGCAGAGACTGGGCTGGGGGCTGGGGCACCGCTGGGCTTCAGGTCCTGGGGCTGCTCACCTATGGGGAGGAAGGGGGCCTGAGGGGGCCATTTCCTCCAGATTCTGCATTTATCTGTGTATGACTGATACGACTTTCTTTCTTTCTCTTTCTCTCTCTCTTTCTTTCCTTCCCTCCCTCCCTCCCCTCCTCCTCCTCCTCCTCCTCCTCCTCCTCCTCCTCCTCCTCCTCTTCCTCCTCTTCTTCTTCTTCTTCTTCTTCTTCTTCTTCTTCTTCTTCTTCTTCTTCTTCTTCTTTTTCTTCTTCTTCTCTCTCTCTTTCCTTTTCTTCCTCATGCTGGGAACTGAACCAAGGCCTTTGCACTAAGCTACACTGCCTCATTCTGTTTAATTTTTTATTTTGGGAAAGATCTTGCTAAGTCACTAAGTTGCCCGGCTGGGCTTGAACTTGCCCTCTCCCTGCCTCATGGCCCAGCCTCCCAGAGTGTTGGGGTCACATGTGTGTCACCACACCTGGCTCCTGATGCTACTTGTGAGCTGGTTTTGAATCCAGCCACATGGATGAGGTGAGGGAACCCTTAGCTGGTGACTTGAGGTGCAGGTTTACTGCTGGGTCCTGTCTCTGGGCCCTGAGTTAGCATTTACAGCAGAAGCCCTGTGACTTGTGAACACCACGATTATATTTCGTAGTGTTTAGTATGAGAGCTCACGTGGATTGAGTGTTCATTCATTCACAGGAAATGTCTTCAATATGGTCCACTTTTTGTACTCTTGCTTTGGAATTTCCTTATTCTCAGGACCCCCAGGTTTTCTGGGTCTCTGAGGGCTTCACCCAAGGGCTCCTCATCCCACTGGTATCTGTGATGAGGGCTGGAGGTGTGCAGGCAAAGATCCTGAGCCTCCGGCAGCTCCGGGCTAGTGAGGGGGCTGTATCCTGGCTGAGCAGGGAGGCCAAGGGACGGGACAGTCCTTCCCAGAAATGCACTGGGGAACCCAAAGCTCATGTCCTTGCTGGGCTTGTCCAGCATCTCTGGTGTCTGGCTCCTGAGCCAAGCATGGGCTGCCTCTGACCACCTTGGTGCCCACTGCCAGGTCTTTGATCCGCAAAGCCCACAGTCTACCTGTTCCCACGAGCAGAGACTGTCTGTTCCCAAGCTCAGGGCTTCGCCCTGGAGTCTTTGTCTCAATGAGAGGCAGCTCACAGTGGCTTTCCTGCAATCCCCTGCCTTCTGATTCCAGCCCTTAATGAGTGGCCTTGGGACATTACTGAGTCTTGGTTTTCCCATCTGCTCAGTGGGAATGGTACTCAGAGCTGCTGTGACTCCAGGTTTGTGAGTACAGATAGAAATAACAGGACGGCCCAAGGAACTTCACAGGGGCATCTGGTCGTGTTGGGGTGCTGGCTGCTGCTTGTGGCCCAGTGCTGCCCCCCAGGGGCTCTCTCCTGGGCCTTGATGTCCATGTGCCTGGGGAGGTTAGAGGTCACTGCTAATCTATAGCCCCTCTGATTCCTCCTGCTCTTACAAAAGAACCACAGGAGGGGACTCAACGCTGGACTTTGGAGCAGAGGGAGGTGCTGGGGACATGGGGCCCTGGAAGGAGGAGGTGGCAGGGGGCTTCCTGGTGTGCAAAATGGGCTCAGCTCTGAGGTGAGCTCTGACCACCTGTCCTAAAATAAGGTCTGACCTCAGGCTGTGACTCAGTGTGACATGTTGAGGAAGGCCCCCTTCCCAAAGGAACAGGAATGTCATGGTCTC